GGGGTTGGACTGGATGATCTCCAGAGGTCCCTTCCAACCTTGGCCATTCTGTGATTCTATAATATTTTTTCTAAAAGTTGTGAAATGGACAAATTAAAAAAAAAAAAAAACAGTAGAAATAAGTTTCTTCTGTTTAGATTGAAGAATTCAGGATATCACTTGGCCATGGGAGTTTTGGACATGCATCAAAGATTTCTGCCCCAGCCTCTATGAGGAGAAAACATTTCTTTACTTGGGAAACTATTCTAATTTTTATAAACTAAATAGTCTTTTCATAATTCTGCATTTCAAATGCTTATTTGCATTATCTTCGTTAATAAGCCTTTGCATTACTTTAGCTCTAACATTCACTAATACTAGAATTCCCTATAGATGGGAAGAATATAAATGTGTGCCCTACTACAGATTTCAAAGTTGATTTAACATTAGGGGAAAACTTAAGTTTTATGAATTGCCAATTTTGTTTATTTTATTATCACGATGAACACTTTTAAACAAAGTTAATATTAACAAATATATTCACCTTGTTAAATTCCTCTTAAGAATACCTCTTAGGAAGTAATATTGCATACTTCTAGTGGTAACTTACACTGTTACCTAAGCATACTTATGTACACTTTATTACTAGCTGTGTCATTCTTCTGACATTCATTCTGAAATTTCATTCTTCATATAACAGGGGGGGGATGAACCTACATTAAAAAAAAATATATATGAGCGCGCACACACATATATGCGCGCGCACACACACACACACACACACACACACACACACACACACACACACACACACACACACACACAAAATTTTTGACAGTCCTAGAGGAGAGCTGTGCTTAGACATAACCCTTTAAGAATGTTTACTGAAGTCAAAGTACTGGTTACATCTCCAGTTAGATGCTGTCTTCAAACTGGTTGAACCCCTAATGGGAGCTGTTAAGATATTTTTACCACCCTCTCTCCCTGGAGGTTGTTGATACAGCCCTTTGCCACATATAAACAGAGTACTTCAGTCTCGCAAATCTTCGAAATAGTTACATCAGTGAGAGCTTCCTAAACAGCTGCCAATACAGGCAGTGTCCTAAAAATAAAATATTAACAGCGCTCACTGGATTTGTCTGGCTTCAAAAGCATAAGAAATAACTTTCTTTCCTCTGATACTTGAGTTGGTACCTCATCAGCCAGTTGCTAACAAGCGTGCATGTTTCCTTTGACCTTGATTTCAACATCAAGCTTTAAGCTAATTGGACCAAAACTGACATAGAAATAAGGATAGCTTTATATTCACTTTATTTTTATTGAGGTAGTCTGTATGGGGTCAGCTACAAGCACTGTATCCAGTTCTTACTCATGCACAGATAGCATTAGAAAAAAATAGATGCTATGTGCTTAATTCTGCTATATTTTAAATTCATTCCTATTTGAGACGTAAAAACTCAATTTACAGAAAAGGACAACGTCTGATAATAGTGAAAACTCCGAACACTTTATTAAAAAGCTGAAAGAAATTAAAGTTCAAAACAACGTCCTTTGAATATTTACTAAGGCATGCATTTGCTCTTTCTCTGCTGCTATTTATGCCATAATTCTTGCCAGTGAGACCTCTCATCTAGTATAGAGAGCAAAGATATTGGCCTTTTAAACAGTAAATATGCCCCTCTGCTTAATTATGTGGGTTATGTAAGATTGTCTGCATGCATGAAAGAATGCTGTGAATGTCAGAGCTGTTGACGTCTAGAACTTCCTTTTTCATGCAGTACCTCTTTCAATGTTGGCATTGTTTGCTCGTTTTGTAAATGGCATTTCATTGCAATGGTTCAGTGCCTGTTTTCAGCCCTTTCATTGCTGTGTTTTCCAGTAGCTGCATACAAACAGTCTGCAGTGCCATTGAAAGGAAATATACTTTATTTTTCCATTCTTAAATTATTTAACTCTTATGGGATGAAAGTGTCACTGAAATTTGGAGAACTATTTGTACACAAGGTATATCCTGTATTTGCATGGCAGGTCCTTTGAGTGGTCTAACTAAAATCTGTTTGACAATTTGCTTAAATGTATCTGAAAATCCGGATTTTCAGATTTTGGTCAGACTTATGTGAAAGTTAATTGAATATATTCAAACTGGGAAAAAAAATTCCAGAAGGAAAAAAGGTCTGTCTTCTTGCATAGTCAAATGATGGTGCATTACTAGTGAAAAACTGATTCTAAGGATTAACAAGATCTTTGGATATGTGAGGGTATGTCTACACAGTCTGTCTGGCAAACCAAAGTTTGTTCTGCCAGCATTCTGTGCTAGCCAAATGTCAAACAGCTCTAGACCCTGTCATTATGTTAGCTCAAGCATAGTCCTGTATTATGTCCAGTCTCTCCAGCCACTCTTACTAGCTAATAACAATGCAATGATAGAGTCCATACAGTGGCCATCCTAGAGGGCACAGGTAGTTTATTTGTGTCATGTGAGTAGGGAAGTTGTTACTGCTTTATATGGTTCCTTTTGAAAAGAAAAAATGAGTGTCTGACTTACCTGTTTGTAGGATCCTCATTTGTATGTTAAACTGAAGAAACTTATTTAAAAAAAAAAAACCCTTCAGTGTAAGCAATTAAAAGCAAAACCACCAAAAAACTATTTTAACAGCAAATGTAATTAATTACTACAACAAACTGATCAGGGTTGTGATTGTTTCAAATATTTCCAGCAGCTGAATGTTGTCTGGTGCTATAGGTCAAGGATAGCTGTGTTACTTGAAAAAAGATTTTATGTAGGAGAGGTTTTTGGGTGGGTTTTTTTTTTTTTTTTTGGCATGCTGCAAGACAAGTTGAAGTAGATGATGTAATGGAATCTCTGGCCTTTTCATTTTAAAAAAAAAACCCACTATTTGCTGCTAATCTGTATCACTTATTTCTTAATGCAATAATTGGGTTTTCAAGCATGAGCAACATGGAAACACTAAAGACAATTTTAGAGAAGTTTACGAAAAATCCTTCAATTGTTTACAAAGACTGAACTACTGCCACTGTTTCTACTACTGTCACATTCTTCACTGGTTAGTGAGTGAGGCATATCGATCAGTTTAAGACATGCTCCAACAGCGCAACTTGTATCAACTCAGACTTTCAGATGTGAAATCTGTTGCTCTTCGTGTAACCCAGTTTGCTTTCTAATTTTTTAGAATCCATGTTTTCACTGAGCATCACTAAATAATGGCTCTTGCTTACTTGCTGACTCTCATGGTGCTTTTATTAACAAAAATACTTTCTGAACCTCTTTGTTTCAGAGCCACTACAAAATAAGTAAAGCACAGGCAGTGGTTAAATGCAAAAAATAAAATATAGCTTTTTGGTTAGATTTTCAGCAGTCTTTTGGCCATCGCATGCACACTGGATCATCAATGTATTTTGCAGAATTGCAATAACTCACAATTTTTAATAGGGAATCTGCTGGTCCTCACAGAAAAGCCAGCTTGAGGCCAGTGAAAATTGACCATTGGTCTGCTCTCGTAACTTATTGTGGTCCATGAAAGCATCAGAAGCAGCAGGATATCTCCAGTGCAAGCAGCAGAAATGAGTGCAGAGGAATTAAATGCAACAGACACACCCTGTTCTTTGTACTTCTCAGTGCAAGCTCATTAACACTTCTGAGTTAACATCTTTTCTGCAAGTGAAGTCTTTGCATTTCAGATTTCTGGGAATGAATTTGGAAAGAATGTGCTGTTGAACGGCAATAGAAACAGAAGTTGATACTTTATTTTTTAAAAACAGTTTTCCTAAACAGTCATTTCAAGCCGGATTTTGTCCTCTTCTTGTGTAGATGATGTGCAAGTCAATTTTCCTGAGTTGTACTAACGGTACATCAGTATGGTTACTTGTCTATTAAGCAAGGGTTTGATTATATTCTAATTGAAAACAAAACAAAAAAGCTTATTCTAATACTTTATCATTAAAATTCTTAACTGCTATGCCAGAGTGGGGGAAAAATGGCCATATTTTAAACACCTCTATTAACGAGTTCTATCAGGTTGCAAACATTTTTTAAAAAGGCATAATACAAGCTATGTATATTTATATATATAGGATCTATAATCCATCACACATACATATGTCTATAAAGCTACAATAGAAGAAGATTGACACTCTACTGTAAAATTAAATTTAAGAAAAATCAAGTATTACATTTCAATTCTTTTACTGTGTGCAGTTTTAAAATCAAGGGATAATAACTGATATTTGTATTGAGAACCTACCAAGGAAGAACTGGTGCACTAGAGAACGTCATCGAAAGAGGAGTTGTTTACAGAGGTATAAATATCCAAGTAACTCTCTCTCATTTTATAAGAGAAACAGCACCTCTTGAAGATTAAAAAGTTTTTAGGTCGTGACAGTGAGACTTTTTGGCACTTTGCTGAGTCCGCTAAATACGTGCATAGCTATCTGGGGATATGGCTAATCTCCTTTCAAATGCAGTATGTATAATTTTGCTTTTAACAGCATTTTAAATATTGGGGTTTGTTTTTTCTTAGCAAACAAAGAAAATTTTAATTCTATTGCTGTTGATAAGGAGTGTCCTGATTCCCAGTCCCCAGGTTGTATCACAAACTGCTAGCTCTTTTGTATTGCATACTAGGTTTTTATCAAGGTTAGTCTTGGCTCAGATAGCCAATAAAGTAAAGTTTTAGATGACGTGTTTTGAAGAGGAACTTTGCACCATGTTGTTTTTTCCTCCAGAAATATGTGGAATTTGAAACATTTGATTTTTGTTTGAAATCTGGTAATGTGCTTAAAACACTTGAGTTGGTAACATTTGTTGTATTCAGTGTCAAGTTATGATGCTCAAGAGAATCAAAATCAGCCTGCTGACAGTTGTGCTCTGTGTAATAACTAGACAGCTGTATATAAATACTTGCTTTTACCTTTTTTGTAAGGTGGTTACTTAAATTCTTTGTTCATATCTTGTGCTTTTTCTGCTTTTCCCGAAGCGATGGACATATGCAGAAGACCTGCAATTGAAATCAGGAGTAAGGGAGTTTGGAGTGGGCAATTGGGCCAAAATTTTGGTCCATGGTGAATTCAACAACAGAACTAGTGTCATGTTAAAAGATCGATGGAGAACACTCTGCAGGATTGACCAGGTCTAATTTGGACTGCAAGAATCAACTTTAACTGTTCTTGAGCCTTTCCTACATGAGGATAAGTTTAGCTTTTCAGAATAACTTCAACTGTACCTTATGTTGACCACTTAACTCCACAGAAACATTTTTTGTAGTATTTTAAAATATCGGTACAGCCATCAGTCCTATGAATCTAAGTATATTCTTTCTTTTGCAATCCTATTGTTGAACTTTTTTGCTCTGCAATGAATGGCTAATATTTTGAATAACTTATTTCTACAGAATGAAATACTCAAGGTTGTGTGCTGTTAGTCTCAAAAGTGTTGTTATCCTAAAACATAAAAAAAAATAGTAAAAACATCCATATAAGCTCACTTGCTCAGGTAATGAATGAAGTCTTAAATATAAAGCCTGGTCTTTATCTACATGCCGTTAAGTGTCCTATTTTCTGAAATGTGAAAATATTTTAAAAGATAGGTTAAGTATGTACATAGGGGTACTAAATGCTGGCAACATGTTTAGCTTGATAGCGGGTAATGGTCAGTGCTCTGTATTTTATAAAGGCTTCTATCTGTAGTCAGACTGAGCTTTTGATTGTTTTGATTCCTGCCATAGTCTATTCTAACCTGATTCATCTTGAAATTCTGATCCGACTTGTCACCTCTGTATGTAAGTTATACTAGAAAAATCTGTTTTTCTGATTTGGCAAACTTAAGTTCCTTTTCTTTTTTTTTTTTTTTTTGCACTTAGGAAATGTAATGTAATTTTATACCATGTAATTTTATATCCTTAAGTAGTAAAGGTGCTGTATATGTATTGGAGGTAAAACATAAGGGAAGAATTAAGTTCTAGGAGAAAGATTATTCTGAAGTTACCTATATTGACATAATAGCACTTTTCTCTTGCAGGAGAGATGGAGAAGAAATGGGAAGTAATAGTATGATAGAGGCTCTTAACATCTCTCACCTTATGCCACCTACCTTGTGGCCAAAGTGGCTTCCTTTTAGATCAGCAGAAAAGAGGAAGCTTGAAGTATGTGGCCAAAGTGGGGTTCAGTAGCTTGTCTACTCTGGCACTGATAGCACAGACTAAGACATGTTTCAACTGTGCTGGCTGACCAGTGTGTATTGCTGTGGCACTAACAAGCAAAGACCAGCTCTGAGGAGGTAACTAACTGCATGAAGGTGTCACTTGGTCACTGCCAATCTCCTCCTCATGAGAGGCTGTAACAGATGGTTCATGGTGCTGTGCTGTCTCCTTTGCTTTAGATTCTATGGAAGAGGATTCCAGTCTCAGAAAACACATACTGTTCACTCCGTCTTACTAGTATGCATCTAATAAGCATGAACTTGCATGTTATGACATTCTTTTAAGAGTGGAACATCTTCAGCTCAAATGGTGTTTTCTGTACTGCTGTCCTTGGATAAGGTATTTATCTTTATTTTACAAGAACCTTTCAAGGAAAAGTGTCTTTCTAAACTAATAATAAAATATACCTATCTCTGGGGTGTTTTTTCCTGGCTCCAAATGAAAGATTCTTGAAGGCTGACATGTTCAGAAAGTATTAGGATGATCATCTTGCTGCCTCTGGGGTTGGAGGCCTGCTTGTATTTGAGGTAAAATGGTCAAGTACAGTTACAAAGGCCTTTTTCTTATTGTGGATAAGACCTTGGCAAGACCACCTTCCTCGTTCTTGCCACCAGAAAAAGATTGTTTCTTGCAACTGTTAAAAATAAAGGCAAACAGCAGTCTTTAGGTTCTGTAGAGATGCTGCTGCATGTCTGTACTGTAAATTTTCTCAACCTTAAGGTATCACTTCTTTTTAGTAACAAATGTGAAGTTTCACAAGTTTGATAAAAGATGGGTTGGGTCCTTTAGTGAGGAACACTGGAGCACTGTAAACAATCTCCAAAAAAAAAAAAAAAAAGGTGAGCAAGTCTGCTGTGTTCTGCAGCATGCAGCCTTTTTAGTGCTGTAAAAAACAATTAAACAGTAACGAAACAAGGTGTCTTTAATCATTCTAGGTGAGCAGGTTGACATAGTAATAAGTGATTATTTTCTAAATATTAACCAAGGTATTAACCAAGTCATGGTTAACCTCCTGCTAGATGCAAAATTATTTTATTTGGGTTGTAATTTATTATAATACTGTAGCAAAGCTTCCTAGGTAAAGACAGCTTAGCTTGTATCACCACTCACTAAGAAACTATGCCTTTTCAAGACTGTTAGTTTGTGTGCAAAAATCTTGTTTAGGTTTGTCTGCCATAAGTCACACTGTGTAGTAGTGACACAAAGACTACTTCCTTAATAACATTCTGACTAGTCTCACACTTTCAGGAAAGTGGTTGAACATGGAAATTGCTATGTGGACAAATATTTATGCACTTGTAGAAAGTAGTATTAAACAACTGCCTAGATGATATTGTGAAGGAACAAAGGATCTAAACTGAAATCCAGTTTTAGCTCTTAAATTTTCATTTTTATTCACTGTTGGTATTTAATGATGACAGTAGCTATTCTCAGACTTAAGAATCTTTGGCTTGCTCACTACTGAGTAGGATCAATGCTTGTAAACAGGACTATTGCCCATAAAGAACCAGAGCTTTAGGAACTGAAGCTACTATGGTTAGAAACATTAGCTCTTTAATTACAAAAGAGAAACATGGAAAGTGGCTTACAGCCTTCTAAGGTACAAAGATCAATCTTAACGTTTGTGTTAAAGCAGAGAGAGTTGTCCAAACTGCTTCCAAAGTTTTGACTCCTTTAAAGTTCAATTAGGCCCCAGCAAATATAGTAGAAAGGTGCAAGTTTCTTGGCATCAGTGTTAATTTTCTTGATCTTTGTGTTGCTGCTGTTTTAAAGGTCTTTTGAACTTTTATGTAAAAATAAAGCTATGCACAGGGGGACATGAACACTGCTCCAGCTGCCGAACTTTCTTCCAGGTTCCTTGGCACCGAGAGTTGCCAACTGCTTCCCAGTGTAAGATTTTACCTCTGAAAAGTAACAATGAATGAGGAGTAAAGAGTGAGTTTACAAATACTAAGAACTGTAAACTTCATGTCATAAAGCAGAACCTACTACCAAATTAGATTTGCTTAATAATGTAAGACTTTAGCTCATCTAGCTTTTATAATTCTTTTACTGTGCTTATACTTGTACGCTCTCCGGAGCAGGCACTATATTCCTTAGTACACAGGATGATGGGAATAGACAATTGCACAGGTATTACACAGCATGTATATTAATAACGTATAGACTAAATAAAAATCTGTTCCAAATATGAAATGTCTTCTTTCAAAATTACTGTTCTAGAAACCAAGTGTATAGATTTGAGGGGACAGTGTACTGCTCTGTCACTATTAAACCTGAAATCAGATTTGGATTATGGCAGGAAGTACACCTAGTAAGTAGCAGTACCTGTAACTGAATAAAGCTTTCAAAAACACTAGTCTTATATTGAAATTTACTGTACCAGTTTTGTCTAGGTTTTAAATACATTAGTTCAAATGCAATTTCTGTGAGAACTGAAAGGCTAAATCTTCCGAGCTCTAGAAGTGATATGAACTGTTTCCTTTTTTAGGTATAGTAAATGCAGCTTTTAATGTGACCTTGAGAGTTCTTAAGTTCTGTGCTAGGTTTTGTTCTAGAAAAGACAGCAGGAGGATGACTTCTGTCTTTACCCGTCTGCGTTATGGCCATCTCCAGAACAACGATGAGTGTCAATATTCATAGCTGGAGGCTGGCAAGCTACACACACAGTGTGTCCTTCTCGTAGGTACTGCATCCATCGAGCATATGGCCGATTCTCCAAAGCACAGTGGTGCGAAAGTGATTCAGTTCTAAATTCCACACAATATCTGCTCCGAAGGATAAAAGATTATTTTGACAAATAAGTATTACATTAGTTATAATAGTTAAAGTACAAACTAAATTTACAATTAAAATGTACTTATCTCACAGTGGTGTTTGTGAAGTGCAAGTTGGACCTATTCATTGTTAACAAATCTACTTCTGATTCCTGCCTAATTAATCACGTCTTAAAAACATTGAGCAAATTATTGCTCATTCCATGCCTAAGTCCGGTGCTTTGTGTCTCACTCTGGTTGTGTTCTGCATTCTTAAATTATGTTGAAAAGCACATATCTTAGTAACTCGTAGGAGCTCTTATTTTTCCTTGTATGACTGCTAAAAGAGAAAATGGAAAATAGGTTTTAAGATTACCTATTGGCGTTATCGTTCTGGACAAAGTAGCTATAGGGCAAAGCATTCTGAGAATTATGAGTCAGTAATAGCTGAATTTAAACCAACTTCATAACTATACTGGTAAGCATACTGTATTTTTACTGCTTTTGTCAATCAGTGTTAAGAAAAGCCCTTGGAACTGATCACAGATTCAGCCAGTCTTGTTTGCTCAGAGATCAATATCTAACTTACAGATATGGTCAACTTTAGTTCAGCTGTATTTATTGTTGGCTTTCAAAAAGCAGCTGTCCTCAAGTTTTCTGTGACCTCAGTAAATATCTAATTCAGGACAGTTAGCAAGTAAAAACCAACATCTGGAAATGCAAATGAAGTACAAAAGAGCAAAATAGTAAAAGCTATAGCTTGCTTTTGAATTATTGCAAGTTTGTTTATATGTTTGTGTGGCCAGCTGTTTTCTGTTGAACAAGATGACTCGCATGTATATGATAAATAGATTACCCAACTTCTTTGTCTGAAGACCAGAGAGGAGACACTGCTCGTCGTTTTCTTTCTTTACTGTACTCAGAGGTAGTTATGAAAGCAGGGACTGAAAAGGAAAAGAGTTACAGTAAGGCAACAAGGCATAGTTCACTCATTTTGATTGCTCTAACAGTGGGTAAAAGAATCTCACGGGGTTGTAGAAGGTGATTCTGACTGACTTCATTGAAAAAGTGATATAGCATTGGCAACATCAGCCTTCAACCGTGTTCCCTA